TATTATTTTCTTATATAAAATATATATTTTTCAGCTCGACAAAGACCCTGCTCAGAACATGATCACGGCATCCGCCAAGGTTGGGCAAAGGACGAAGCCACTTATCCCAGAAATGTGCTTCACATCCGGAGGAGAAAACACTGAGCCTTCGCCCACAAACTCCTACATTGGTGAAGATGGGACCAGCCTTCTCATCTCCTGTGCAAAATGCTGCCTCCAGGTCCACGCAAGTAAGTGTCTCGCAGCTCAGCACAACCGATTTTAAACAACAACAACAAATTACATTTGGATAGCACCTTTGACTTCGGGAGGAGGTGCCAAGGTGCTGACACAGACACACAAACCGATCGTCTCAGTGTTTGAAAGGTCTGAGGCCCAAAATTTTCCTTGGACTTAAGATCGTGTCTTGAAATTTACGACTCTTAAATTTGGGTTTAATTAAGTTTCTAGTTTCCAAATTAATGCCGAAAATTTTTGAATCTTCCAAATTTCTGCGCAATTTCAAATTTTAGGGCCCCAAAATGTTCTCACAGGCGAAGACTGAGTGGAATTTGGGGTCTTTGGTATTGCACCTGATTAATTTGTTTTCTTCCAGTGTTCGTCAAGTTCAGGATTCAACCTATTTCCCACAGTGTTGTGCCCTTCCATTAGAGCAATTTAATAACAGTTTAACAATCTCTTTGTAATGGGGATGAAAATATCTGCTGTAAACAAGTACAAAAGGCTCCTTTGTTTCCTATGTTCAGTGACCGTTTCTTGACTGGTAATTCCGAGTGTGGCAGCACAGCATTGGTAAAGACTCTTTGCTTTATTTCACCATGCTGTCTGCACCGCTGAGTTGGGAATTTGCCCTCGTATTTACACCGTGGGGGATAAGCAGAGATGCTGCTAGTCAAATTGTAGTGGCATCCCTGGGGGCTGCTGAAATATCACTTGAGGCCTGCCGTCCGATTGCTCAGGGCTGCTCGCAGCACATCTCTGTGGGTTTGTAGCTACTGTTTTTCAAACCTAGCGGAGGACTCTCTTAGCCCCACAGTGCTTACAAGGACATGTGAAACATTGTCCATGTAGGAAGAAAACGATCACTTCATAACATTCAAGGCATGTTATTGACTGAGACACGATCCGAGCATGACTAAGTACAGAGCTTGACAAGCGAATCTTTCTAACCAGTTGCCTCGCTGTTGACAGGTTGTTACGGTATCCGGCCAGATTTAGTCAAAGACGGCTGGACCTGCTCTCGATGTACAGCCAACGCCTGGACAGCGGTAAGAGCTTTATTGTCATTTGGAACACACAGCATCAGTATCTGGGCTGCTAAAATCAAGACATGTTGTTTGTCTTTTGGAGTAAACGTTTTGAACTACTTTAAAAGATTGGAGCTATGAAGGTGAGGGGTTTATTAGGGAACATTGACGTTAATCATTGGAGCCATGTGAATCTTTGGTGCAGTTGCCCTGAACTCACCAATCACCTCTGCTAATGTCAAGGACTTGTTTTATCATCATCGTTGAACTAACAGTTTGCAACAACTTGTCCGACGACAGCAGTTGCTGCTGAATCTGCTAATGTGCCAACTTGTTCCAGTGGAGCAGCCTTGCTAGGGTGAATCTTTCAAAGGCCCTTGAAAGTAACTGTTGGCAGGATATATGCCCAACCTCCACACATGTCTCTGGATGGCGGCCAGGAGAGTGAGCCCTGGAGGTCGTTTTTTTCCTCTCCCACCCCTCCCAGGAGGGCTGATGCCAAGTGATGTCCCAACTGCTTGCACTGGGATCAGCTAGCTCAACACGGATCATTTGAACTTGCCTGGCCTTGTGCTCCCCGGGCAATGGTTTAACCCACTTAGCCACCTGGGTTGATTTTAGTACCTAACCAGTATCTTGTAAGAAATTATCTCCTCTGCACAGGAGGTTCGAAACAGAAGATAAGAAAGACGGCTTTCTTTTTAAAAAGCAACAACAATTTGCTTAAATACTTTGAGACCTACTCCTGACGCGAAAGCCGCAATATAAATGTAAATCGTATTGTATCATTTACATTTATACAGTGTCTTTCACATCGGGAGGACACCTCAAAGTGCTTCGCATAGCAGTCTGAGCTTCGGGGCGGAGGAAGAGAGGAGACATAAGATAGGGTTTGAAGGGAGGGGGCAAGATGAATGGACTCCAGGATGGTGTTCAAGCAAGCAAGGACAGAATGGCTGAAAGCTCACCTACTAATCAACGGTGGGGCAGATCGGGTGTGGGGTATGAAGCGGACTGAGCTGGGGGGGAGCAGACCAGGCAGTAGAGTTGCGTAAGTAGGCGGGGCAGGGGTGTGGAGGGACATGAAACTGAGGATAAAGGTCTTGTATTTGATCCGCTGGGGGGATGAGAAGCTAATGGAGTCGGGTGAGGGTGGGGTTGTTGAGCTTAGAGCCTGGTGTGGGAAAGGACACGGGCAATAGACTTTAGGATGGTCTGAAACTTGTGCAGAGAGACTGGGGGAGGGGGAATCCATAAAGTCCGTATATGTATTGGAAAAAAATCCAACTTGCAGGAAAACAGAAGTGCTAGCCATCACCCATTCACTTCTAGTTTATGTTAAAATGGTGAATTGTAAGGAGATTGGTATGAAATGTTTGGGGGCTTCAACTGGTTTCCAATGATTACAATTAAAATGTCAGCAAATGACCTTTGCTGAACGGTCTCGAGCACATTTTTCAGACGCAGTTGTCGTCTCCTGGAAATTAATCACACAGCCACGTTGGAGTTGATTGCATGCGGTGTTTGGCTGTGGTGGGGGTTTGGGGGAGGGTTGCAGTGTGTTGGGGCAAGGCCTCCTCTTTCATCGCAGTGGTTTCTGCTGATGAGATGCTACCTAGTTGCCGATCCTGTTATTAATTGCCATGCTTCTGCCGGGGTGACTCTCGGGAAGCAAGACAGGTGTCAGGGAGATCGGAACTGAGTAACTGAAGAGGGACTTGGGACCAATTCATCTGTCCAATGTTTCACTCCTGGACTGTGCCTTTCAGCTTTAAGCAAAACTCAGCTGTGATTCCCACATCACTCGACTCAATTAGCAGGAGGGCAGGCCTTTGAGAGAGGAGACAAGGAAATTATTTTTTTCTAAAATACACAAGCGCATTTAATGATCAAAGGACTCTAAATCCTTATCCTAAATCCCAGCACTTTTGGACATCCTCTCAACTTGAAATTGCGCTATACAAATGTAATTTTTATTGTATCATCTTAAAACAACAAAACTAACCTCCTATTTTCTCGCTGTATCTTTCATCGTGTCTGACCCCTATTATAGTGCTTGCTGCATTTCATAGTTTTTAAGTAAACCAGTCTGGCCGAGATGAAACTAAAGTTTAATTTAATTTTCAAAATGCATCTAAACCTTTACACTTGTAGCCAGGGTAACTAGAACTGTGATTAGGCCCAATTTAGCATTTTAATAATCCCGTGCTTTGAATCGTTTAATCTTTCCTCGTCCACCTCTCCACAATTTTATTTATTAACGACTGCAGTGCTGGAGCTCTCTCATTGCTTTCAGCTCATATTAAAACATTGTCCTTGATTTCACCCCCCTCAAATGCATTGAGCTGTTAAACCAAGTTCAGGTGGACATTAAAGATCCCCTTGTGCTATTTGAAAAGAAAAGGAAGTTTCTCCAGTTATCCTGGCAACAATACACTTTGTTGATTGCTCATTAATTGGCTGTTTGGGGAACATCATTGGAATGTCTTGTTGTTGTATTTGCCTATAAAAATAGCCAATATATTTCAAATGTTTAGATGTGGCACAGCACCTTACAAAATTCTTTCCACCATTTGCTGCAAGCATCAATGGTGTTCTTTCAAGTGAACAGTTGATAAAATAGAAGCATTGAGATTTTCAGCAAGGGAGGAGGCCATTCGACCCATTGCGTCTTTGCCAAAAGTGTGCCGCAAAGTAGGATATATATTATCTTTCCTGTCATGTGAGAGGGCTCTGTTTTGTTGTTGGTTCAATTTACATTTTTTCTCCTCTTATTCCAGGATTGCTATTTGTGCAACTTGAGGGGCGGAGCGCTGAAAAACACCACTGACAAAAGGTAACTAGTAATAATAGTCCAGCTCTAGAAGTGCTTTAAAGAACATTATTTTAAGCATTGTTGATTCAAAGTGTTTTGAGCCATCTCAAAGACATGATAAAGCACTATATCAAATGCAGGGATTATTGTTATTTGTGGGACGAATGGTCTCGTGACTGATCACTAGATTACCCCAGTATTCCGGGCAACAGTTCCCCAAATAAAATTGTTCATTCACTTCATGATTGTTTGTGGAACATTTCTTTGTGCAATCGGGCTGCCACGTTTGCCTATAAATACACAGTCATCTCCACTTCTCAATAAATCCTGGGAAGCGCTTTGGGATGTCCTCCTGATGTGAAAGACCCTATACCAAATGCAAAGCTTATAATGAATTCTTGTGAACAATCAGCAAGACTTGCAAACATGTTTTTCTCTGAAAACTGTGCCCCTTTTGAAACAGTCACTCGTTCTGATTTAAACGCTGATTATAAATGATACTGTTTTTCAGTGTCTTACAATTACACTTTTAATACTTACGTGAATGTTTAAGCAATTCTCATACTTCAGTGTGAAGTGAATGAATTGTTTTCCACAGTATTGCACTTATCAACAACACAGGAATTAAAATGTTTGTGCAGTGTTTTTATTGATTACAGTTTTCACTCTGTGCAGAATTACAGGAGTTTAAAGTTTATTGCACGCGGCCGCAGTTATTTTTATCTCCTTGTGCTGGCTCTTTCCTTCCTTCTCATTTACACGCACGTATACTGTCTCAAACTCTTTCCCTCTCACTTGCTCACACACAAGCACAGATGTTTAATCGAGAAGGTGGAACAAGTCAGACTACATGCCAGTCTTTATGGCTACTAATGATGCAGACATGGATTCAGTATTTCTGTTGCACTCCAGTCAGTCAGCCCTTGAGATTAACCAGAATGATTTTAGTAATCATTGTGTCTCGTGTTCCTGATCATTCAAAGTCCCAGCACGAGCAGCAGATCTCTGTCTGTGTCTTTGTGCAGTAATTGCATCACTAATGTCTGGACCCTCCCTGAACAAGCTTCCTCATCTATTGCACCTGTTTTTTGCCAAAAAAAAACTGATTCAACATAAGAACCTAAGAATTTGTTGGCGAAAGCAGACCAAGATCCTTGACATATCATGTCATGCATTTGGCATAAGAAAAGCTCTCTTCGTTCTTCAAGAAATCTTCAGTTATTGTGCAATGATGATGATAATCCTACATATAGATCTTTTCATGTTGAAGTGACATCTCAAAAGTGCCTCCACAGAATGCAATCTAAAATGGAGTGACTGTATTTTGTGGGTGAATTGGGAGACTCCCAGGCTGAATCCCGTTTCATATAAAAATCATACATTTAAGCATCTTTTCCCATTGTGGTTCAGATTTATGGAGTAAGAATTGCTGCTTCCTCCCCTGTCTTCAGTCGTTCCTTTTCTAAGTCTGTTGTGTTTGAGAGGGAAAAGCTCCTGTCACCCCTTTCGACTTCCTCTTTAACCTGTTGACCATAACCCTGAATTGGCCTGATCTCCGTGGAAATCGAGACTCCAAGTAATTGTCTCATTCTTTCATATGTTCAGTGGAGCATCACTGTAATCTATATTTTTATTTAAAAATCCTGATCCATAAAATGGAGAGAGAAACAGAATGTTCCTTGACCACATTCAGGGCAGCATGCTGTTGTTGTAATAATAATCTTTGAATTTGATATAACGCCAAATCAGGAGGGCGGACGTCTCAAAGGGCTTCATACTTATGCTTCCCATAATGTGGTCAATGAATATTATGTCATCAACGCCTGCTTCTCTGTACTTGGCTCAGAAACAATTCAAACTACACTGGTGTTTTATTTATCCAGTTTTTGGTCAAGCTGCACAAGTTATAAAATTCATTTCCCAGCTACCTTGTACTCTGTGAGGAGACTAGTTATCAGGATATTCTCGATCGTGCATATATAGAAATATCCCTTTCTGTGGTTCGTTAATTAGGCATAGACCATCCACCTCATGGCTGTTTGTGGGACATTGCTGGCTGCTGTATTTGATGACACTACACTTGACAGCAATTACCTGTGAAAAGCTTTGCAATGTTTGTCCTGTTTTGTTTTTGCTACTGGCAGCATTGTGTATGACTGAATGTCTGTCCATGTGCAGGTGGGTCCACGTGATCTGTGCAATAACAGTCCCTGAGGTGAAGTTTCTCAATGTGTTGGAAAGGAATCCAGTTGATGCCAGTGGGATTCCAGAGCAGAGATGGAAGTTGGTAAGTGTTATTCTTTGTTTATCTTCAGCTTTTCTGGATGGTCCTGTTGTGGGGGAAGATGGTTGATAGCCATTTACTGCCATTTGGGGTAAACCATTTTACTGCAATGCTGATGAAGGGAATTGGGGAAACTTGTGACAGTGCAAGGGATGAATGCATTACACAATATGGCAAGGAGTTGGAGGACATGCCTTTGCCTGATCTCAGCCAATGTAGTAGTACTTGAGGGCACGAAAGTTGCCCTTGGTTCCAGGTTATAAAAGTAGAAGTTGCAGCACAAATGGAGAGCATTGAGGCTATACTGGTGCAAACTTCCCCACTGGAGTTATCACCTCCCATTATTTGACTTTATACCTTCTCATTGAATCCTTTAATATTCCCAAGTATCTAACCATCCCCTTGCTGAATGCTTCAATCAACTCTGCATCCGTTGGCCCAGAACGGGACACCCAAATCTGATGTTCGCCAATACTGAACTTTTCAGGGGTTGGAACGTAATGGAATCGCATCAGCTCCTCCCTGTAACAAGCCCGATCCAGGAGACAGCGGATCGCAGGTGTGATTCCTCGCTCGAGAGAGAGACAGAGAATCGACTTATAACAGTTGGTCTGGTTTGCAGTATTCAACAGGATTCTTTGACAAGAATTCCCGTAGACCTGCTGGATTCATTCAAATTTTTAAGGCTAAGGTGGATAGATTTTGGTGAGGTCAAGGATTCAAGGGATATGGGGCAAAGGCGGGTTGTTGGATTTGAGGTACAGATCAGCCATGATCTAATAAAATGGGGGACCAGGATCCGAGGGGCTGAATGACCTTACTCCTGTTCCTCGAGCCCCTAAAAGCTTCGCTCTATCAATAGATCACATCAGAACAAAGCTTCTGTGAGATGTTCTTCTGCTTTCCAGAAGGAGTCCGTCCCGAGGTGCATGACTTGGATTCCTCCTTAAAGATTTTTTTTCACAAATTCCAGGTTCCCTCTAGACTTCAGTTCCCCTTTTAAGCACGACTTTATCATATTTGAAAGTAAACATCTGTGTTTATATCAATTTATGCAAATAATATCCATTTTACAGCCTCTGTGTGATGTTTGAAGCTGAGCATGTGTTAGCATTGTGCTTCTGCTTTTTTATGACTTGTTATTTAAAATGTAGATTTCACTGAAGCTATCTGCATTGAGCAATGGCGGTTCACTGTTTAATGTTTATCACTGGATTCTTTTGAGGGCAGCATCCTCTGTCGACTCAGTGAAACTTTCTTGGGAAGCAATAAAGCCTTGCATTTCCTTATGCAAATTAGCTTAATTGATATGTGCATTTCCAAACACCATCGAGATTAACCTTATTTACCAAATATCACAACCTACAAAGCAGATTTCTGATTGACTCGCCATTGAGCAGCTAGTTGGTTACGTTACTGTGGCAACCATCAATTAGGTTTCCTCCATTTCCTGTGTGTGTTTACTTCCAATTCTGTGTGTAAATATGCAGAGGAAAAATGGGGTCGAACATCAATGATTTATAGAGTGTGAAGATTAAACGCAATGGTTTTTCGGATCAATACCAAGGAAGCTATTCATTGTCCAATTTCTGTATTCAGTCCTTGAACTGAACCTTTCCTGAAGAATAATTATTGGAAATCTGAAGTGGTTTTGAGTTATTGTTGATGATCCTTCCCTGTAGCCTCTACATCTGCTATGAGCGAGACCGAATAAACGTGTTGTGTTCCAGCAAATCAGTTAACAAATAAATACTTCTTGTTGTTAACCAGTTATAAACGATAAAATGGTGAGATTTAACCTTCTGTGCCTCCTTAACTCAATATCTAATAGTAATCATTGCATTTGATATAGCGCCTTATCACATTGTTGAGACGTCTCAAAGTGCTTCACAGAATATACTGTAAAGTGAATTGACCGTGTATTTTGTGGGTGAAATTTTGAAGTGAGTTGGACCTTACTGACTTTCTTTAGCTCTAAAAGCTCATGCTGCAGTAATAGGGCAGGACAGAGCAAGCCAGTGATCCAAGAAAAGAGTTTGCGTCTTTACAAAGAAGCTCAATGGCGTCTCATGGGATTTCTCATTATAAAGGTTTAGTGGGAAAGATCACAGTTTTTAGTGTGTGAAAGTGCTGTAGCAATGCTGCAAAAGTCTTCCTTTATCTCAAGTGATTTGTAGTGGAAATGACTACACTCAGTGTCGAGAGTGATATATGTAACAAGAAGCAGTCAAACCAACCATCTTAGTACTGCATTCACAAGTGCCCCCTATCTTGTGTGTGTAAGATAAGAATTAGCTGGGAGCGTGTAGAGCACCAGCCAGCCTTCTATTTACAGTATTTTGTGAGCTTGTGGATATCTGCTACAGTCTCACAGTGCACTTTGCACAACAGTTAATAAAGCTTTTGATTTCATGCTGTGCTGAGGTTTTCTTCATCTCCAGAGTACGCACAAGGACTCTGAATGAAGACTTTGCTTCCACTTCTAGGCATTGAATTTTTGAGAGAGACACAAGGCTGAAAGATCTCTTTTCTCATGGGAAGATGTGTCTAGATGACGCATTGCACTCAGTATGAATGAAGAAAGAAATTGTATTTTTATAGAGCCTTATCACGTCAATGCGTCCCAAAGCACATTATAGAAATAACTGCCTGTCAAATGTAGTGACTGTGTTTGTGGGCAAGTATAGTAACCATTTTTGCACACAGCAAGATTCCACAAACAGCTGTGAGATGAATGACCAGCTTTTCTGAATGCTTGTTGGCCCAGGACACGTGGAGGAACTCCCTCCTCTTTTCAAATACTTGTACTTGAAGTATTGTAATGGGTTGGGTTTTCCTGTAATTCATAGTTAATTTCAAAGAGATCTTTACAATTTACCATTCGCCCGAGAGGCCACAGTTTAATGTCTCGTATGAAGAAGCAGGTCAGAGCTCCACCAATTCTGCACTGTATAGTATCGGCTTGGACCCAGGTTCAGTTCCCGGGCAGGGCGATACTTTAGGCAAGTTTCCTTACTCCACATGCCTCTGTTTACCCAACAGTACATAGGAACCCGGTTGTTAGTTGATTGGTCGATCTCTTTCCAGGGTTGATAATACCTCCGCCCAAAAATTTGGCCACTCAATCCACGACTGTTAGTAGGACAATGCTGTGTGCAATTGGCTGCTGCATTTCCCCCACAAAATACACAGTCAATCCAATTTACAATGTATTCTATGAAGCCCTTTGAGACTTCTCAGCGACATATCAAATGCAAGGATAATTATTATTGATTATAACTTTAAAATTAATTATGAATTACAGGAAAACGCAACCCATTACAACACCCCAATCTCATCACATTATGGTCTAATAGAGAAATTTCAAGGATTATTATGATTAGAACTGTCAATTCTTCTAAGATGTTTGGACATTTTAATAAGATTATTACAGAGTCTGATGTTCTAATCATGTGGATTATTGTGGTCTTGAGCTTTAGATTTGAGCTCATTTATTTAAATCTATCTCTGTGAAAAACAAATCTTTTGCTTTATTTGCCCCTTGCCCATGTGACTAAAGTAATGTTTATCGACTGACGTTCTATGATGTTAAATTATTAAAAGTTGTTCACTTAGCTGGGTAAAGACTTTACCAACCAGGAACATTGAGTTCCCTGAGAGAAGGCGCAATGTTTCTCCACAGTCTGGAGACCAGCAACGACAACCTCGTCTGGTTCACCCCAGTGATCCCTTCAGATCGCTTGACCTAACTGTCTGTGTTACTTACTCTCCACTCAGTCTCAACAAGGAGCTGATCCCTGGGATCAAAATGTTATCAACGCTGCTCTGGATCATACGCGACTCAAGTCCATTTATGAGTTGTGAACAAAAATTAAAATTAACTTCAATAAATCTACAGAAACCTTTGCCAAATATAACCGTTGGTGGCAACGCTAAAGACAGAGAGAGGGTAGCCTATGTTCTCTCACTCCATTCATAAATCTTGTTATAACTCCCTCTCACTTCCTCGGGAGGTGGAACTAGTAAGGAGGGTGGCGTGTCTGTCTCCCAAAAGCTTCAAGTAGCATTGACGGAGCAATTTGGCTGTGTATCTTTTCTGCTTCCGAACCATTCTTGACTGAGTGAGTAGAAGAGAAGAGGAGCGTTAAGTAAATTCAAAGCTGGAGTAAGATACCAACAAAAGCTCTCGTAAATCTCAAACCAACCAAGCTGTTCAGTATTCTTGTTAAGAACGAGGAGTGTTTTATTTTGAAGGTTGATTTGATTGAGAAATTTCAAAAAAAATTAATATTGTCAGTTTCAATTATTAGCTCAATGTAATTATTGCTTTGATTGCCACCTCATTTGCATAATTAGCGATCTGTCACAGCACATCTGTGAATCTTCTGAGAAAGGTACCTACTGTCAATTAGTATCATTCTTTCCTCATCAGCTAAACCATCTGACATTCAGTCGCAACATCTGTCGTCCTCAAATTGGTTTTGCCCAATATCTAACGCTTTTTTTAAAATCTTTTTGCTGATTTGTCGAGCTGCCAGATGGATGGTTAGCCGAAACCTGTCGTCATTTTATGCAAACGTCCATCATCTTTGGCAATGAGCCGAGTGGCCTCCAAGCTACTTAGCGAAAATCATTGGTAACAAGGAATAGGTGGGCCAACAGGATTGCGGCTTCAGAAACTGTGGAACTTGAAGCAGTTTTGTTGCCGTCAGTGGCCCTGCAAATGGGTTGGATAAAGTGCTCTTTGTGCTTCAATTAGTTTTCGCTGTTTATCACTTAGCTTGGCCGGGTGCCGGGTTCAGTTGTCCTTTACGCTTGTTCTCCTCCGAAAGCAGAAATAAATTTCCAGTAATATGTACATCATTGATGATCTTTCTTAATCACCAGTCACGTGACCCATTTTGTTGGCTATTTGATTTGGGGGCTGATTTGCAAGGCTTGAGGAGTGATTAGGAAACGGTAAATCCTGCAAGTGCCAGGTATGTATCAGGTCGACCCACTGG